AGGATGGTGTAGAAGAGCATGTGATGTCTCATGAACAGGAACTTACTCCAGATGACTTGCAGCAACTGGATGAGATGTTAGAGGCTGACAGTGGTGAGGAGGAAAAGGAAAGTGATGACCATATGTCAACTTCAGAGTTGAAAGATGTTGTTCACCACTGTGAGAAGTTCAGGAAACTAGCTTCAAGGCACCCAGATATGGAAAAGTCTGAACTAGTTTTGTGTCATGTTGAGGACACAGTGGTCTCCTCCTTCAAACATCAGTTAATGATGAGGAATAGAGATGCCCCACAGACAAAAATTGAGTTTCTTCAGTAAAAGGCAGCGGGAACTAGATGCTAGCCCTCAGCCTTCCACTTCAAGAAGGAGAGAGGATGTTCCTGGTGGAGAATCTGTCAGTTCAGAGGTTCCTGACATTTTCATGGAAGGTGACTCACCTTCCAATAAGCAGTAAAATGCTTCTCCTCCACCTCCACTTCCCTCTCTTCTCCCTTCTCCTCCTCCACCTCCCACTTCAAATTCACATCAGCATCATCATCCAGGAGCTTTCTACATACACACCTAAAAGTAAGTGTACTTTACTACCTTTTTTGTTGACTTTAGGCAATTTTCGATGAGCTGGAACCAATTACCCAAAAACCCATTGAAACAATGGTTTCGGTTAACAAATTTTTCGGTTAACGAGCAACCTTCTGGAACGAATTGTGCTCGTTAACCGAGGGACCATTGTACTGTATAAGACAGGTAACACTGCCTATATCTGTACTGAATAAGACAAGTAACACTGCCTTACCCCAGGTTGGCAACACTGGGGTTAGAAAGAGTCAAGATCGTTCATAAAGTGGCGTGTGTGAAGCAGTAGTAACGAGGTAAACAACACTAATTTGTAGGCAGCATGAGGTACAGGACACATATTTTACTATCTTATTACTAAATACACTATTAACAATCACTATTACTACGCCAGTAATTGATCACAATACTAGACCTGTGCTTGGGGGTTGTGGAGGAAGAAACATACAGTGAAGTGAGTCAAGTCCAAGGGCAAGATTCCTACATCACAAAATCTAAGAAGCTACTGAGAAGAGACTGGAAGGCACTCATGTGTGGGTGAGTGAAAGATAAATACCTACTTGGCAACATAATCTAGCCAGGCCCACCCCTTTTATTGACATAGGCTCACGAAAGATCAAAACGTCATGTGACGTGACCCAAAGCCTAGGGGTTAATACTGTACTGCATTACTGTCTTTAACAATCTTTACCATCCATATTATTCTTCAACAATCCTAATATTAACTCGTACATACATCCTAACATTAACTCCTACAATACATATATCCTAACATTAACAATCTTTACCAGTTATGCTCAACTTTTTCAAAATAAAGATCTCTCTCTCATTATCTACATATCAATTTCCTTTATCATTCACACCAGCAGCAATGAGGTGGACAGAACTGAAGGAGGATTAGCACTGTAAATGAAAAACAGAGAAAATTGTAGTGTTAAAGTTTGCAAACCATGAAATTACCATAACTTTGGAACCAGTGAAGATATTGAAGTGATTCAAGAGGGAAGATTGTAACATCATTAGTGCAGATTCCATTGATACAAGTGAGAGACATCATGGGTATTGTTTTCTGGGTAAACCAATGCTGGTCCTACTTGGGTTCTGTGCTCCTCAAATACTACCTGTACTGAACTGTAATGTACTTTTAAATAAATGAAACATGAATTACCTGCAGCTGCATCTGTGAGTGTGTTGAAGTGGTTCTATCAGAGGCAGAGAGTGGTGTAATCTTGCGGTAACTGTTGGTACCTTTACTGCAACCTCCACCTACCCAGTAATCACTCAGTAAGTTCTTTAGTTCACTTATAAATGGACAGCAGATTGTGATCATCTGAAAGACAACATTATTTTCAAAAAACTATTCAAGCATATAAAGTGAATAATAATAAAAAAATATAATGCTTTTAATGGCACATTTAAATCACTGTACAGTACAGTACTGACTTCAGAAGAAATTTACTGCTTCCTTATCCTCAACACCTACGGTATGTGATTAAGGGCCACTTATTTGGAGATGAGGATAACTATATATTTCTGGAAACTTTAAGATACATTGTTTTACCGCTGGACAGCGGTAATCATAGGATAGTGAATAGAGTAATGAGAAAAGCATTGTTTGTTGTACCAAGCGAACAGGCGCTGACTCAGTCCTACTATAATGAAGCCAGAGGTGGACTATGCCGAGTCAGCTTGATGTATCTCCCTGGGTCTTGAGACGCTAACATATAACTACCAGTACCTCTCAACTGATCGCCCTAAACACACCAACGCTTTCTGCTCTGAGCCGGACCTACAATTAAGTAAGTATACTCGTAAACCTATTGTGGACGTGAAGAATATTAATTGAACAACTTCTGATGATATGCAGCTTATATTGTTACTATTAAGATAATGTACTCATTTGTGTGCTAATATTAAGAAAATGTATTCAAATATGATATGACACTGAACTTCAGTTCCCTCTTGTAAATTGATTATTATTTGTATTTGACAGTTTTGACCAAAATAAAATGGATCTAGTTGATGTGGCAGGTTAATCTCCCTACCAGGCGACATAATACTGGACCCCAAAATCAATCTTTACATTTTTTTAAAGCATATGACCATCCTTTTGGACTTTTGTTAAGTAAATATTTAAACTACAGTATTGTACAATATTATGTACCTCACTATTACAAAATAATTGGTGAGCAGCCAGTTTGGTATAAGGAGTTTTTCGGTATAAAGCTCACCCGAAAAACTCATTCAATACAGTACTGAACTTTGTTTGGTATATATATAAAAAAGTTTCATATTTTTAGTCCAGATAAATTGTCACAATACTTTTTATTTATAAATGTAGTTTGGTAATATAAGACTTTAAACTTACCTGTTGATCAACAAAATTAGACTCATCTAGATTCAGCTTACGCTCTGCCACAATCTGAGTGTCAGAGCCTTTGAGAGGTGTAGTCTGAGGACTCTCTATCATGCTCACTGATAAAAACTTGGAGGGAGTTTTGCTTGGTGATCCTGTTTATAAAGAAATTTTTTTACACATGTGAAAACATTCAAAACTGATCAAGTAGTTTCATTATTATCTATATGATAATTATCCTTTTCCTTTCTGACTTTTCTGATGAGTGGAACAAAGAGAAAGATCCAGGTACAGTAGAATGTCGATTTAAAGTGATTCAATTTAAGATTATTGATTTAAAGCGACACCCACAATTACGGACAATGTTTTAATGTAAAGCGAATCTTTCCTATTTTGAGTGAGTCAATCTGGCACATCACATTTTAAAATTCGCGCCTAATGTTTCTCTGAGCACGCTACACTGTCCTAAGGGCAAAGCTGTACTGTGCATATACTCAATATAATGTACTAGAGGATTACTAAAAAAAAATTCTAGTGCAAACTATAGCATGATTATATTCAAATTAATCACTATATTATAAGAATTCCAGCAATGTTAATTATATTCTCCTAGGTCAGTGTAGTGACATTTTATAAACAAAAAACAAAAACTCAATCTCAATAAATACTTCACTAGACCTTAGGTGCCAACTGTCAAACATGTCACTGCCACCTCCCTCCCCCCCCCCCTATTTTCCCAGCCAGAGTTGGGTGGTTATACGCTTACAGTTGTTATCTTATATAATATCACAGACTAAAGTTAGGAGAATAATTTGCATTGCTAGAATCCTTGCAAGACAGCGAATAATTTGAACATAAACGTCATATATTTTGCACAAGAGATAAAATTTTTAGTCCTTTGTAATAAAATTAATTAGAACATGTCAGTTCAGTGGCATTTTATAAGAGAAAAACTTATTCACTCTTATGGACAGATAAATAAATAAGCACTAAACCTTGGCATCAACTGTCAAACATATCACCTCACCTCTCCACCCCCCCCCACAATCTTCCCATCAGCTGATCGCTAGTAAACAGACCATTTCACGTCCCATAATTTTAGCTGTGTTGATTTATGAGTGTTTGTTTTAACATAATACTCCAAAAAACAATGTTTTGTTTATTCTAGGAGATGGGGTGAGGTGCATCTGGGTAGACTGTCAGTCTTTTTAGTATTTTGTGTTTCTCTCAAGTACCAAACTAAATTATTCCATTGAAACAACACTTTGACTTGGTGCGAATTCGGTTTAAAGCGACCTCTCTTGGTACGTATCTCGTGTTATAATGACGTTCTACTGTAACTCAATAAAGGGGGAAACAATATTTTGCAAGATATTATACATGTAGAAACAGGGAGAAAAGAACCAGAATGACAAGTCAAAATGTCCACACATTCTTGCTTACATTTTTAATTTGTAGTTGCAGAAATGTGTTCCTACGCCCCCTGTGATAACCCGTGGTTCCAAACGGCCAACCTATACGACCTATAGCAAACCTATCCACCAATCACGTCTGTCATTACACTACCAATACCCATTCATTCATATACTATTACTGCGATGGTTCCATTTGAAGACACGGGCTACCACAGGGAGTGTAGGAACACATTTCCACAACTGTACCACAGCACATAAAATGAAACCCAAGTATCCATTTAGACCAGTGGTTCTTAACCTTTTTAGAGTCACACCCCCTATAGCAGTTGGTCCTCCTCTCCACGCCCCCTCCTTCCTTCATATAAAATTCTAAATCTAAAAATTCTAAAACAATTTCCTCTTGAATTAAGAAGGAAAATTGAGAAACTAGTTTTTCATTTGTTACTTTAATAACTTTAATTATTCAAAAGAATCTGCATAAGCTACTGTCGCAGTCAGTGTTGACAAATTTTCAAATGTGAATATCGTACTGGAGCCTCAAAATTATCGTTTCTTCATCAAATTATCGTACAGTTCCCGACATTATGACTACCTTCATTCAGTCACTTTTAGTGGAATTTTACATTTTGAGTGGCATAGTTACCATTTACGACATGTTGAAGTATCTGTGGGGAGCAAGACTGTGTTTCACATGGCTGAGAAATACTTGACCGTGGTTCATATAGGTGAGAAATACTTGACTGTGGTTCACATGGTTGAGAAATACTTGACCGTGGTTCATATAGGTGAGAAATACTTGACTGTGGTTCACATGGTTGAGAAATACTTGACCGTGGTTCATATAGGTGAGAAATACTTGACCGTGGTTCATATAGGTGAGAAATACTTGACTGTGTTTCACATGAGAAATACTTGAGAAATACTTGACTGTGTTTCACATGGTTGAGAAATACTTGACTGTGGTTCACATGGGTGACAAATACTTGACTGTGGTTCACATGGGTGAGAAATACTTGACCATGGTTCACATGGCTGAGAAATAATTGACTGTGGTTCACATGGTTGAGAAATACTTGACTGTGTTTCACATGGCTGACAAGTACTTGACCGTGGTTCACATGGGTGAGAAATACTTGACCGTGGTTCACATGGATGAGAAATACTTGACCGTGGTTCATATAGGTGAGAAATACTTGACTGTGTTTCACATGGATGAGAAATACTTGACTGTGTTTCACATGGCTTACTTGACTGTGGTTCACTGTGCATGGAGAAATATGACCATGGTTCATATAGGTGAGAAATACTTGACTGTGTTTCATATGGCTGAGAAATACTTGACCGTGGTTCATATATGTGAAATACTTGACTGTGTTTCATATGGCTGAGAAATACTTGACCGTGGTTCATATATGTGAGAAATACTTGACCGTGGTTCACATGGATGAGAAATACTTGACCGTGGTTCACATGGATGAGAAATACTTGACTGTGGTTCACATGGGTGAGAAATACTTGACCATGGTTCACATGGCTGAAAAATAATTGACTGTGGTTCACAAGGCTGAGAAATACTTGACCGTGGTTCACATGGCTGAGAAATAATTGACTGTGGTTCACAAGGCTGAGAAATACTTGACGGTGGTTCACATGGGTGAGAAATACTTGATCGTGGTTCACATGGATGAGAAATACTTGACGGTGGTTCACATGGGTGAGAAATACTTGACCGTGGTTCACATGGGTGAGAAATACTTGACTGTGGTTCACATGGGTGAGAAATACTTGACTGTGGTTCACATGGGTGAGAAATACTTGACTGTGGTTCACATGGGTGAGAAATACTTGACCGTGGTTCACATGGCTGAGAAAGATGTTTGTTACAAAAATAATGTCCATCTGGAAAATGTATCTTGTCATTTTGCAAAGTCAGCCACTAACTTAAGGTGTTTTAACGCTATGTTTACTGTACTTACTGATGACCATAAACTCTCCTTGATCCTTATTGCTGGTACTATATAACAATCACACAGCACTAACCTACTCAATTTGTACTAGTAAAACATTCTTGTATGCAAAAAAAATTTCATGTCATTCTCCTTTCATTAAAAATCTCATTCATTCTTTGTTTCTACTCATGAATATCCATAGGCAAACCTAACATCATATTATTTATACCATAAAAAAATACAGTATCCCTATTTCATTCTTCATTTCACACTCATAACCTAACCATACCACTCTATTTGAAGTAATCTGTGACTCCCATTACTGTTATAACTCTTTCATTCCATTCTCTTAACTGTGCCACTTGCAGATTTTCCAACGTTGGCCCCCAAGAAGTCCTTCCATGGCAGAGAGTTTACTGTATCTATATAAAACCCTGATATACGAGTATATGGAGGTTTATTAACAATGACCCTGGCATACATGGAGGTTCATTTGCAATATATGAGGTCGGAAAAGTAGCAAATTAAAAAAAAATTATAACTTTTGTCACTTAGAGAGATTGTAATATCTGCGAGGAGTTACTCCTAAAGTATCCTAAGTACAGGTTTAGCAAGGTGTTGCTCCATGAGATATACAGTACATTGGTGACACTAAACATAGTACCAAATTATTTACCTTTTATATTTTGCTTAGAAGGAGTCTTTGTGAGAGGCAGTCCAGTACCTTTTGTTGGTTTAAGGTCTTTGTGAGGTGATACTCCTTTTTGTGTTAATACAGTATTAATTTCTGCTGTCCTTCTATCCATCACATCATCAGTTGGTGTAAATAGACACCTCAGACAGGTGACACACAGATGGCGGTAGTTGGCTTTGAGTACGTCAAGGGTTTGACTGTATTCCAAATAGTCAATATCTATCTCTCCCACATCAATAAAAAATAAACCATCAGGGAAGTTTGGTAGATCAAAGAGCCAACCCAAAAGTAGCTTCAACAGAAGGCCATTATACGGAGTCAAACTTCTGGTTGTGTAAGCAACATCACATACTTGACATCCAGTGGGTTCCACAGGTCTGAAAGATATGAAATAACCCATTAACTAGAGCAACAGCATTGTCTCAATCATTACTACTGTATTAAAGAAATATTTAAAATTTAACAAAACAATTAACGAAGAACTTTGGCATAGATTTGTTTTACGGTTCTTACATTTAGCTGGATTATAATTATTCGGCATTCTTACCTAACAACATAGAGTAACCTGAAGACAGCTACGAGTATCATGACAACAGTTAGATAATGACGAGAATGTAAGGCAACAGGGTCAACCATACTGAAGAACTCCACCATCCACGTAACTCCAACCACCAGCTGGCCAGTTGAAGCACACTGCCGTAATGCAGCACATAGGTTCACTGGAGGACACACCTAGTAAAAATATACAACAATGCAATTATTATAGTGTATTAATAATGAAGGACTGCTCTAGATACCAAGTTTCTTTGTTCAACCCTTAACCAGGTGGTTTATACAACACATAAAGTACTACTGTACAAATATATAGTCATGCGCCGGTTAACGTCCAACTGAACAACATCCGATAGCATATATGTCCGTGCCCCCCCCCCCCAAAAAAAAAACTTCCGTGAAGCCTGCTGGACCACCACTCCACGACCCCCTGACGGAGACACGATGATCCTTCCCATACTGGTCAGATATTATGTGTTAAAGGAATATCCTTCCTTAGGCTTTAGTAAGCATTTACCTCCAGGTATAATGTTAACCTACATCTATTGAGGATAAAATCTTTCACCTACAAATTGACAATAACACATTTGCTGTAATCAGACATATCTAGTTGCCTCAACAATTACAACCCCAGTTGCAATTGGGGTTGCAATTTCAAATTCTGTGTCATTACTAAGGAATAACGAAGTCTCTGGTGCACTGCAGTCTAAGATTAAGAGAAAACGGACTCGGGTGTCCTGAAGCGAGAGAAAACAGACTCCTGTGATGGGGGACACAAGCACTCACACGTGCCACTCATACTGAGAGACTTGACACTCACTTACTTGACAAGTTTTACCAACCATTAGTTGTGTACGTTATCTAGTGAATTTAGTCAATATTGTACAGTACAAGTACACTGCAATACAGTGGTCTCTCAGTTAACAATGGAACAAACCTTTACTGTACATGTACTAAATGATTAGGGTACTAAAATTGTTATGTCTATTGCAAATATAGATTGTTTATACAGGTATTCAAACTGTTATTGCCGCTGGCTTCAGCTACAGTGCTGGTGTGTGATGCCATTAAATCTTTCGACCTATGACCTCGCCAGATGTAGAAGTGTTTACAGACAAGTCCTGGACTGTCTTGGACTGATGACGGTGGCTGCCCGCCCCTCCATGAGACAGATCGCCCTCTCTAGTGATGCTGTGAAGACCAGCCTTCTCCTGTCCGAGAATTTGTGCTGGGACGATTTTCGCAATACTGTTTTTCTCTTGGAACACCATACTGATCTGCACTGACCCGCACTTGTAAGTACAGCCTAAGTGATGACATACCCCTCGGTACTGAAATATTGTTGACTAATTACGCCTACTCGTTTCTGCCTAACCTGGAGTAATAAGACAATGCAGAATGAAGCGAAGCTAAGATTAATAGAGTTATGAACTTTGTGTTATGTCAGTATGTTTAATAAATTGTAATTAAGATAAAATTGTGTGAGACTAACTAATTATGTATCAGATGGATCACCTTGTAATATTATGAACGCCTTCTCCTCTGCAGGTTTTGACCACATCAATAAATATTGAATGCATCAAAAGACAGGTTTCAATCATTCCCTTCGACTTGCCCTTAACCTGAACGTCCTTAACTAAGGCGTTTACACAAATAAATCACTATCTTACAAGAATCCCAGCAATGCAAGTTATATTCACCAAGGTTGTTTGGGTGGCAAATTATGAGAAGAGCTTAGTCACTCTTAAGTATGATAAATAAACAAGCAGGCCTTCAGCGCCAACTGTCAAATCTTATCTCAAATAAATAAACAAACATCAGACACTCTGTCATCTCACCTCACCTCCCCCCACCCCCCCCCCATGCTCGCTGGCTACCTCCCTCCTTGTGTTCCCAGACAAAAGATTAGTGATAACTTTATGATTTAAGGTGTTATTTTATATAATATCTCAGACTAAAGTTAAGAGATTATAATTTGCATTGCTGGAATCCTTGCAAGACAGCCAATAATTTGAATATAAACGTCATATATTTTGCTCAAGATATAAAAATGTAGTACATTAGTGTACAATACATTTATAATACAGTATAAAGTTTTTCAACTGTATTTTTGGGTAGATTTGCATAAATTTCTTCATTTATTTTCAACCCTTTACATGCACCCACCATACTAAAAGAAATGTAAAAAAAAATAAATGACCTTAGTGCAAAGCTGGAGTGTACATGTGCTAATTTGATTACGGTACTAAAATTGTTATGTCTAGTGCAAATTATAGCATGTTTATATTCAAATTAATCAGTATCTTACAAGAATCCCAACAATGTAAATTATATTCACCCAGGTCATTTCATTGGCTTTTTATAAGAGAGAAGCTTAGTCACCTAAGAACTGATAAATATACACACGTTAGACCTGGGCCTGTGCCAACTGTCAAACCGCTCCCCTCCCCCCAAGCCCCCTCGCTCGCTCCCTCCCTCCCTCTCCCCCATCTGCCCAGCGTTGCTGGAATCCTTGTAAAACAGTGAATAATTTTAATATAAACGTCATGTATTTTGCACAAGAGATAAAAATTAATCACCTGTATCATATTACAGTAGTGATTTAAGAGTAAAAGTGTATATGTACGTATATTGTATTCCACATACACGTAAGTATAAATACAAAGTTTATGTGATGACCGGACAACGTCCATTTCGGTTAACGTCACGTTTCCAAGAACGTATCTAGGACGTTAACCGGTGCATGACTGTATACAGAAGGGTCGGGATATATAGCGACTTTATATAACGATTGTTTTATATCGCAGCTACCAAAATTATTGACATTTTCCTATATATAGTGATAAATATTTTTATTTCGCGAGGGAAACATTTCAAATTTGTTACTACTGCACTACCAAAATTACCAAAATTTTCCAATATGCAGTAGGACTCGCAACTTACGCGAGGGTTACCGAGGGTTACGTACCTGGGACCTCGTGTAAAGTCAGAAACACTCCTAAATCGCCCTTAAATAACTATATATGTACAGTGGTCCCTCGATTAACGAACACAATTGGTTCCAGAGTCGTTCGTTAACTGAATCTATTACAGTGACCCCTCGTTTAACGAACACCTCGGTTAACGTAATTTCGATTAACGAACTGCCTTCCATAAGGATCTTCAATTCGGTTCACGAAAAAAAATTTGGTTTACGAAGTTCTTCAGAACCGACCTCAACATGTTTTCGCTTGCACTGACCGGGCAACCAGCTTTAGTATCAGTCCGCCAATACATTAATCGGTTCTAGGGCTTAAATTCCTTACTATTTTAGTAAATATCAACAAGTTTATACTATTCAATAATTCTAAAAGTTTAATATTCAATTTGTTAGTCATTTTAACAATTATTGAACATAATTGAAGGTAAAGTGACTAGTTTAATGCGTGGCATCCAACCTCTTAACACAGCAAACAGGAGTTAGTCTCTCTCTGTTTTCACTGGAGGTAACATCTTGCTTGAGACTCTCTTCAACTAAACGCTTTTTTTCTGTGTTTCCAAGCAAATTATTGGTCATTTTGAAATATATTGTACATATTGACAATATATAATCCAGTGCAGTGTTGATTTAAAGAAAATAATCTTGAATTACACCAGAGCTAAAATTTTATGGGTGAAATGGCACCATGGGGTGACTTCTCTTCCACCCCAATGCCTTCTCTTCTTCCTTCTCCTCCACCCCCATTCTAAATCCCATCATCATCATCATCATCATCCAGGAGCCTTCTACATACACACCTCAAAGTAAGTGAACTTTTCTACCATTTTTGTTGAATTTAGGAAATTTTCGGTGAGCTGGAACCAATTACCCAAAAACCCATTGAAACAATGGTTTCGGTTAACGAACGACCTTCTGGAACGGATTGAGTTCGTTAACGGAGGGGTCACTGTATTTCAATGGGATATTGGGTAATTGGTTCCAATTCACAGAAAAAGTACATACAAAGTACTGTATACTGGTAATAGAATTAACAAAACATTAAATATAAACTAAATACAGTATTACCCCGCTTTACACGGTTTCACTTTCCGCGATTTCTCATTTAAGCGGTACCTTGCCAGAACCGGACTTTCACTTTCCGCAGTGCATCTACTCATATACGCGGAGAAGTATAATTTCTTTTTTTTTTTTATTTAGCTCATAAAATTCATACAAATTACCCGGCCAGAATATAATTTACATTGCTGGAATTCTTACAATATGATGATCATTTTGAATATAAACATCATGGATTTTGCATTAGACATACAAATTTTAGATCTAATGTAATAATTTGGTTTACACAAAGCAAATACACCTAGACCCCGACTTACGACTACGTGGACTTACGACCGTCGGGACTTACGACCGCCTCAGATATAGATAAAAAAAAAAAATTTTAAATGACACGCATTTTCTATACCGAAACGTTTCCAGTTAATGTAGTCTCCATGTATAATTAGAAAATTATGGGGGCCCCATGTGCATTCAGCTGACTACATTAAAGGTTAAGTGCTCAGTCACACTGTATCCATTCCTTATTATTTATTACTTTCACTGTACTGTATCCATTCATCATTATTCATTACTTTTACTGTACTGTATTTCATTGTAGATTTTTTATTATAAATAATATATATATATATATATATATATATATATATATATATATATATATATATATATATATATATATATTATATATATATATATATATATATATATATATATATATATATATATATATATTGTAATTTACATATTATTCATATTATGCTACAGCGCCCACAAAACATGAGAAACGTTTGAGTCCCCCAGTAGAGATGTCCGTTCTCTATCCACTTCAGGATGTCTTAGTCCTCCGTTTTCTTTTTGTGTACTCTCTCAGGGACTCAAGTATTTCCGTATATAACACAGGATGATAAGGGAATTTGAAATTATGAGTGAATGAATTTATTATACAGTGATCAATTAACATAGTATTGATGTGTTTAAGTAGTAGTACAGTACTCCCTCTTTATCGACGGGGGTTACGTTCTGTAAACGGCCGTCGATAAAGAAACCGTCGATACTGTGATGGTTACGTAATTTTTCTAACTATTATTAGCATATGTTGAATAAATGTACCTTTAAGCATTAATGCGTTTCCTTTACGCATAAC